CTTCTGGCCCTGGAATTTCCTAGGGTGGTCTCAGAGCCTTCTGAATCTAGACCTTGGGTCTGAGATGGCAGAGTTATCCAAGCTGGAGCTCTAACACTCGCCAAGGGTTAATACCCTAGTCTGGCTGATAGAACACTGATACATTTTTTTTTAATCCTCACCTGAGGACATTTCCATTGATTTTTTTTAGAGAGAGAGTGGAAGGAAGGGGGAGAGAGAGAGAGAAACATCGATATAAGAGAGACACGTTTATTGGTTGCCTCCTGCCCACATCCGGACTGGAGCCGGGGATCGAGTCTGCAACTGAGGTACATGCCCTGTTTATTGGTTGCCTTCTGCCCACATCCGGACTGGAGCCGGGGACCGAGTCTGCAACTGAGGTGCATGCCCTTGACAGGAATCGAACCCAGGACAGTTCAGTCCACAGGCTGATGCTCTATCTACTGAGCCAACCGGGCCAGCGCAATGCTGTCACCTTTGAATAAATACCCCAGCACCACATCTCCAGGTGGAAACAGGTCTTGAGGCCAGGTGTGTCTGTGACAGAGACAGGTTTGCTTATTTAAAAATGGGAACAAACCTCCCCACCAGGTGAGAGTCCTGCCAAATGAGAGGCACCTGTGCGCAGTATAATTGAGCTCTGGTTCAGCTCCTGGCTTCCCAGAGAGCTACCCATGGCTCTGGCCTTGTGGACTCATTGGCCAGATCTGGGCCCCAGCAGACATAACAATAGAATCAAGTGGGGTTAGAGATGCAATGCATGCCGGGCTGGGAGTCTAGACATCCGAACGATTAACATTCAGGGCCAGAGCCCAGGAATCCTCAGTAGCGGGGCTGGCCTGTGCGATGTAGGGCGTCAGCAGCACCCCTGGTCTCCACACACTAGATCCCAGTAGCAGCCCTCCTCCAAGTTGTGACAACCAAACATGTCTCGGGTCATTGCGTAATGTCCCCTGGGGATCCATTTCCTCTGTTTAATCACTGATGGGAAGTGCCCAGCGAGTGCCCGGCACCCATAGGCCCGAAAGGCGGCGGCACTGCCCACACTGCTGATGTGAGGGGATGCCTTTCGGATGGAGCACGGGAGCCTGAGGCCATCTCGGATCTTACCCCCTAAGCCCACTCATGCTGGGTTTCAGGCCTACGTGTTTGCATGCGCATTGACAATTCAGAGAGCCCATAATTTAAAGCAAATTTGGAAAAGGATCCCCACGCACCCTTTTGCTCCATGCTCAGCACTGAGGATCTCCAAGTCTAGCTGAGCCTGCCCTCCTTGGTTCAGAGAGACTGCACCCCTTTCTCTCCCTGCTTTATCGCCAGCTTTATTTCCTGTCCTGTTGATGCAAAGCTGGCTTCTGAATTGGCGTGGGCTATGTAATGATACTCTGCCATGGAGAGTAGAACACCTTTTTTGTAAAGGGCCAGACAGTTAAATAGTCTACGCCAGTGGTCGGCAAACTGCGGCTCGTGAGCCACATGTGGCTCTTTGGCCCCTTGAGTGTGGCTCTTCCACAAAATACCACGTGCGGGTGCGCATGTACAGTGCGATTGAGACTTCATGGCCCATGTGCAGAAGTCGGTATTGGGGGTTGGGGACCATTGGGTGTCTGCCCAAACTATGCAACTCTGCCATCGTAGCACAGCGAATGTGGCTGTGTCCCAATAAAACTTTATTAACAAAAACAAGTACTGGGCCAGACTGCAGTTGGAATGAAAACCTGACACAGTCTTCTACCCCCAGGATGCTCACAGACAAGCAGTCAATGATAGGACTAGGGATTATGTGAGAAGTGGCCACACGCTGCAGTGAGGTACAAGAGGCAGGCAAGCGACATGGCTTAAGTGTCAAGGAAGGCTTGCTGGAGGAGAGCTCTCTGATCTGGGACCTGAAAGATGAGTAGAGAGTAGCCAGGCTAAAGAGCAGTGGGGGTGGGGGGGCTTTCCATGCAAAGGAAGCATGATGGTGGTGGGAGAATGGAGCAATCAGATCACAGGCTTCCTGAGGGCAGGCCCTTCTTTCTCCGAAACAGAGAGAGCTCCGATCCCAGCAGAGAGCCCCGCATCTTGTTGGGGCCTGTGGGACTGGTCACTGTTCCTGAGTTTGCTCTGCAATGAGGGAAGGCCATTCGGGCAGGGTTCCCTCCCAGGATAATGTGTTTTCTGCTGGAGGTGTTGGAGAAACCTTTGTCGTTAGGGACCGTCTCTCGCTACCATTGCTCCTGCCATCATTGTCTGCTTTCCTCAGAGGCCTCACCTGGGCTTCTCACAAGCCTTTCTTTCAATTCAGCGATGAGCCTGGCGGAAGGCAGGGCAGGCTGCAGCGGACCTGTGGGCAGAGGTGGGATCTGTCACCGTGCATTTCTCTCTGGAGAGTTCTCAGATCCAATAGTTTCTGGGGCTTGTGCTGGGCCAGATAGAAGCGGCATCCGTGGGGAATGTCTGTACACGAGGCCATGTTCCCTGCACAGCCCGGGAGAAGAAAGGGAAGCTCGTGGGCTCAAACAGCAGAGGGTTTTTTCAGGAGGGGCTGCTCATCAAGGCCCTTTAGGTTGCAAGTAACAGAAAAAGCAGCTTAAACAAAATAAGACCTTGACCGATTCATGTGACTAAAGCATTACTAACCGCAGGGGAAGCTGGATCCAAGACCTCCGATGAGCTCACTGGGACTCAGTTTATCTGTTGATCAATTTCTGGGCCGGCTCTCCTCTGGGTTGGCTTTGGCTTTAGGCGGTTCTTCTTCAAGGGGCGGTTCTTGGCAGCTCGGTTTTACATTTTGTTTACAGTTGCCAATGACCATGGGAAGAGGACGTCCTCCCAAAGCTCCAGCGAAGTCTCAGGAGTCTCCTTAGAACGACAAGGGTTTAACCCGCTAACTGGTTTAGATAGACGGGCATGAACACACATCCTGGTGACTGTGAGAGTGGAACCCTTTTTTAATTTTTTATTGATTTCAGAGAGGAAAGGATAGGGAGAGAGATATAGAAACATCAATGAAGAGAGAGCATCATTGATCAGCTGCCTCCTGCAAGCCCCACACTGGGGATCAAGCCCGCAACCCGGAGTGATGGCAGAGGGAGGGAGAAGGAAAGAGAAACAGAAACATCAATGATGGGGGAGACTCACTGATCGGCTGCCCCCTGCAGGGCCCCACTGAAGATAGAGCCAACAGCTCCAGGATGTGCCCTGACTGGGAATCAAACCATGACTTCCTGGTTCATAGGTTGATGCTCAACCACTGAGCCACATGGGCCAGGCAAGAGAGTGGAACCCATTGATTAGGCAAGCCAGGTCACATGACTGTATCTATGGGTCATGGGAGGCGGGGCTCAGCCACATCTGCACTAGCCTGAGAGTGAAAGGGTCCCCCTGACCCCGAAAGGAACAGAGCATTTTCCTTGAAGAAAAGTGAACACTGAGTGGCAGTGACAATGAATGACCTCGTGTTCGCTAGGGATGGGTAGGGTTAACTTTTCCCGTCATGTATAGCGATTCAGCCACAGCACAGACAGACCCAGCTCAGCCCCAAATGCTGCGGAAACATGTTAGAGAGAAGTGGCTGTGCATTTCTGCTGCCCGTGGCACAGACATTTGGAGCAGTTATGCCGGGGGAGGAAAGGGCCTGATGGGAATGTTTTCACTTGCAAAATATTTTAAACTTAGCCTAAGCTAAGTCCTCAGCGTGTCATCTTTAACATTCTAATTACGGTCCCCTCTAAACAAGTGAGCTAGCTCTGTGAGCTGCTGTGAGAATAAACTTCCCTTCCCTCCATGTTAGAATGTTCCAGCTGCACCATGGTGCTTTAACCGAAGAGGTACTCTATGTTGGTGGTGAGGACAGAGAAGATGGGAGCAATTCTGACATGTTGGCCCTGCTATCATTATAGAGGGGCCGAAGTCACCTCTAATTGACCACAGACAATGGCAAAGGGGCTATTTGGTGCTTAACTGCTAGAGTGTTTTCTTCTGTCTTTTTCTGACTGTCCGATCCTATCTCTTGAGACCATGGACACTTCAGCTCTCTGGATTGCAATTTTTGCCTCTGTGATTGCTGTGGTGTGTGTGTGTGTGTGTGTGTGTGTGTGTATGTGTGTGTGTGTAGGGTAGGGTAGTAGAGTTATGAGGGTGGGGGAGGAGGTGGAGGTGGAGAGAGATAGATGTTTCCTGAAATGGGAGCATTTGAATTCAGGGTGTGTGTGTGTGTGTGTGTGTGTGTGTGTGTGTTTAATTCTTTTCACTTGGCTGTAATTATCACACTGCATGTTTTGCCTAGATCTGAAGGGTGAATTGTTATATAATACTCTGTGCTTATAAAAAATAAGACAGGGGCTGGGGGAGGCATTGACTAACGAGGCTGAGTTAAGTCCAGCACTTTGCAGAATTACTTAAAATGGGGCTATCACAGAGGGCCATCTTTGTCCAAATTAGGCCCTGAATTTTCATTGGAACATCACACATACACACACACACACACACACACACACGTCATTAACAAGACCCCCAATCCCGTCATGTGGGCCAAGACACATAAAACTTTGATTAAATTCAAATGCTTAGATGAATTGTCTCTCCTCTCAGGAACATGCATGTTTGGTTTAATCGCTTTTGGCGTTTTAAGTATCAGAGCAAAGTTCTGCTGTCGCTGGAGACAACACCATACTCACATGTCCCCAAATGGGAATGAAAGAAGGAAGATCTGCCAGACAGATCCACCCAGTGGGACACAGACCCTCCCAGTCTGGGGCTGTTGAGCTGGATGATTGGGGAAACTGACTTCCGGTTTCGCAGCCTTGATGTCTGCATCTGTAGAATGGATTGTATAAATGAGGGTGACTGCTTCCTCAGAGCGTCTGATGAAGATGAACTGGGGTGCATGGGCTCAGGCGCTTGGCACCATGCGGGCACCCGCACCATGTCCGGGTAACTGTGGTCCAGGGCCTGGGGAGAGGCTGTTCCCGGTGGCCACTCACGCTTTCTCCTTCTCTCCCCCTCTGATTTTTCAGGGTAATCAGGAAGCAGCAGCTGCCCCTGACACAATGGCTCAGCCTTACGCTTCGGCCCAGTTCGCTCCCCCTCAGAACGGCATCCCCGCGGAATACACGGCCCCCCACCCGCACCCGGCGCCAGAGTACCCCGGTCAGACCACCGTCCCCGAGCACACGCTAAACCTGTACCCTCCCGCGCAGTCCCACTCGGAGCAGAGCGCCGCGGACACCAGCGCGCAGACCGTCTCGGGCACCGCTACAGTAAGTGGGCTCCAGGCTCGCCTGGGGCACCGGTGGGGATGGGAGGGGGTCAGGCAGGGTTCCCATAGTGACAGCAGGGTGCACCCCCATCCAAGCGTCCTGCCCAGAAAGCAGCCCCTAACCCTGTCCTTGTCACCCCAGTTCTGCCAAGATGCCTCATCTCCAGGCATCCTCTCTGGTTACTTGCTGAAATAGGCACATTTTTGGTTGACGGCGATTTGTTTGTAAAAGGAAACTTTGACCTACTCTTTGTTCCTATAGTTTTGCATTTTCTCCGTGGAATCATACACTATGTAGCCTTCTTTTAAATGGCTTTACGGAGATGTAATTTACATACCATAAAACACACCTGTGTTAGGGGGACAATTCAGGCTTTTTGCGTATTTACAGGGTCCTGCAACCGTCAGCACAGTCTATTGGAATATTTCCATTGCCCCAAACACAGATCTTGTGGCCATTTGCAGCCACGCAGCGTCTCTGAACCAGCCCTCCCTAACTTAGCCTAATGTGTTAGAGATTCATCCGAGTCTTCATGCGGGTCCCTGTTTCTTCCATGTTGTTGCTGGGCCCTGGGGTGTGCAGGCCTGGGCAGCAAAGAGGCAGCAGAAGAGAATCTTGCAGGGCAGGGAAACCATTCTGTACGTTGATGGTGGTGGTTACGTGACTCTCTGTACCCAAAAGAGTCAATTTCATTGCAGGTGAATGGGGTAAATGGCTTAAAAACAAGCAAACAAAGAGGAAACATTATAATACTATCAAGATTGAAAATGAATGTTATTAGCTATGAATCAAGATAATCCTAAAAAAATTAATTATCGAAATGAAACTGTGTTTGTGAGCGACCTAAGGTAACCATGCACCCCTGATGTACATGTGCATTTGTGGAACTTTGTTCTGCAGAATTCTCTGGAAGCTTGGGCTCACCCAGCCTCAAGTCTTGAGCCTTTTGTAAGTGCAAGGCAGATGTGCCTCTTTCTCCTGCCCCAGGCCTCTGGGAAACCAGTGTTGGTGAAGAAGTTTATTGTTTTAAAGCATGATATATTTCTTATAACTAAAAGCAACCGGTAACTAACTTTGATACCCAGTGTCTTTGACACCTGATACTTGGAGGTGAGACTTGGAGAATTTAAAAAATAATACACATTCTAAACTTTTCTATTGCCTTTTCAACTCTTTATTGTTGTGCAAAACATAAAATTCACCATTTTAACCATTTTAATGTAAACAGTTCCGTGTCATTCAGTACATTCACAGTGCAATGAAACCATTGCCATTATCCAGTTCAAGATTTTCATCACCCAAAGGAAACTCTATGCCCATTAAGCAGACAATCTCCATCCTGCCTTCCACCAACTCCTGGCAACTACTAATCTGCTTTCTGTCTATATGGATTTGCTATTGGGGGTTTTTCATAGAAATGAAATTATGTGTCTGTCTCCTTTCCAATATTAGGATGTTTTTCAAGGTTCACCATATTGTAAAATGTACAGAACTTCCTTTTCATGACAGATACTATTCCATTATACAGATAAGCCTTTTGTTTATCCATTCATTCATTGATGGGCACTTGGGTTGTTTCCACCTTTGGCTCCTGTGAATAGTGCCACTAGTGCCTTTTTGTATATGGCTGCAACTTAGGGTTGAGTCTATTAAGTGCTACAACTTAGTGGTGAGTCTATTAAGTGCTACAACTTAGGGGTAAGTCTATTAAGTGTGTTTGCTGATTTCACATGTGTTTGTGCTGTTGACAACCAGATGATAATGATAGAATTGTTGTTTATTTGCTTGGTGCTTATTTTGTGATAATCAAGGTGATAGGGCTTCAGGAGGCTATTTTAGGACTGAAAAAAAGAGGTTAAATCAGACATTATTTATTAAGCCTCAACATATGCCAACTATACTACTGATTTGGGAGATTCATTCAGTCAGTCACACATTCATTCATTCATTCTCATTCACAAGTATTTATTAAACATCTACTGGAACCTGGACTCAGTAGGTGATGTGGTTGAATCAAACAGAAACAGTCCTTTTCATTTTTGAAACTTAGTGTGAGAGGCAGAGTGAACATGTGGCGACCAAGCAGCTATATAAACACAAATGATGATCCATGCTCTTAAGAAAAAGACAGATGCTATGGGAGGATAAAAAAAGAGCAGAGGCACGGCTTGCAAATGAGTAGTCTGGGAACCTTTCTTGAAGGAGATGATATTTAAGGTGAGAAGACAAAGCTTTTCAGGCAGAAAGAATGACAAGGTCAGTCATCCTGACCTTGACTCATTCAAAGAACAAAAGAGGCCAGTGTATCTAGGGCATGTGGAGAGGGTTTGGGGGTAGAGTGACAATGGACTAAATGGAAGGAATCAGTAGGTATCATACCCCACAGGCCTGCTGGGTTCGATAAGGGGTGGGATTCTACGTTAGGAGTAATGGGAAGTCATTGGAAAGAGTTTGAGCCAGAGGACTTATAAAATGAGAGTTTAAAAGAAAGGGCTAATTATGCCTACCTAAAAGGAAATTTTAATCCAGTTGGGGAGTTGACATGCTCAGTGTCCTTCTCTCACAAAAAGCATTCTTTAAAGATCAACATGATTAAAATTAAATAGCATGCGGACAGTCCACAGAGCCCTGACCCTGCAGAGAGATGCACGGGTAAGCAGGCCTGTGCTCTGCCCTTAATAGGGCGTGTGTTCTGTTATCATTGCAATGTGACAAGTCCTAGAGCATGGAAACAACAGTGTCATTTCTGAAATTGGCTCCAGCGACGGTATCTAGAGTATCTGAAAGGCAAGGAGCACCTCTCCGCGTATGGAGTGCGTGGATTTGGGGGAGGGGGGGCTGGTTACTTTGCCTCCTTTCGCACCGTTTGTGTGGTACATACTCTCACGGGAAGTTTTAAAGGAAAGAGAACCCTCAGCAGCAGAGGCAGGTGGCTTTGTGGCTGAACATGACAGCCCAGAGAAGGGGCCATCCAGTTTTCTGCTGCAAACGATTACATGCCTATGGGCTTCTCTCCTTTGGCCAAAAAGGAAGATGCTTTCTCTGTCTGTGACCTACTTCAGAGTTGGGCTTTCCCGGCCCGACTGTGCAGAACACGGTTGCTTCCCATTGTCTCTGCATCTGCACATTGTTTCCGAGCGCTCCTTCTCTTCCCTCCAGGCTCTGCATTTCCCAGGGATGGAATTGAGCCTCAAAGTGGGTCAGACCCATGGTTGTCCCAGCCCGGTATTAGCACACCTAAGTTCTTCCCCATCGGTTAGTGTTGTACCTGCCATAACGCTAACTGTTCAATGACACATAGGCCTGGTGCTTAATGCCAGGCTCACAGCACTGTGGAGGCCATCATTTCTTTGAGAAACCGAGTCGCTTCGGGTGAGAGAAACGATCCATCCATCTGCTAGTCTCCAAGAACTTCTAATGTATGCACATGATTTAACATAAAGTACAGACGGTAGAAGGGAAGCAGGCTGCACCCAGCGCTCCCAGCCAGAGCGGAGGAAAGCACAGACAGCAAAGACTTCCCCGGCCATCCTTTCAGTCCTCCGAGGGCTGAGATGAGTCCCTGCAGGACATTTTCCTGCCGAATGTCTATTTAATGCAGGGCCTCCCAACACATCATGGATCACTGTGCTGACAGAGCCAATCCTGCATTCTATTAGATACTGCTCCTGACAAGGTATTTCACTTTTGACATATTATAATTAGAGATTTGCAAGTGGTGAATTCTCCGTGTATCTCCAATAGCAACTTAACTTCTATTTTTAACGCCTCTGCAGTCTGTTTGAAAGTCTCCCACCAGCTCTGGGATCTGAGGGGAGAAAGAATGTGGGTCCCAGAGCTTGTTCCCCGGAGCTCTGGGCTCTATTGACAGAGAGAAGAGCTGTTTAAGGAACCAACTTCTTAATCCTCAGCTGCTTTCACTGAGTGTTGTGTCTCCAGACATCATTAATACCCTTAAGAAGATAAGACATTGGTCGGTGATGACCTCCTGTTCTTAATCCCTTACACATTGGCTCTGTTCTGCAAGTCAATTATGGAGCTAAGTGTGGGGAAAGCTTCTCAATGCATTCCTTTTTGTTAATTAGCCATTATTTTTAGTATTATTACTACATTGATTCAGGTTAGTGGTGAAAAAGCCACACATTAGAACAGGTCTACAATGGAAATGAAAATTCCCTAATGCCTTCAAGCCCAGTTCTTAGTCTCCCTGCTGGAAAGTGCAGGTCCCAATCCCTAAAATTTTCCTCTAGAGTGTTTTATGCAAGTGCAAGTATATACCTGTGTCTTAGTTCATGCTGATGTATTATAAATGGGTGGCTTGGGAAAAAAAACACATTTATTGTTCACCATTTGGGGGCCAGGAAGTCCAAGATCTTGGCACCAAAGATGGGTGTCTGGTGAGGGCATACTTCCTGGTACAAAGCTGGATGTCTTCCCATTGTGTCCTCACTTGGAGGGAGGGGTGAGGGAGCTCTCTGAGGACTTCTTTTTATTAGGGCTCCACCCTCATGATCAGGTCATCTCCTCAAGGCTCCTCCCCCTACTACTATTACTATTACCTTACTGGCTAGGATTTTAACATATGCATTTTGTGGGAACACAAGCATTTATCTAAAGCAGCTTGCTTGTCTATCTCTACCTCTAACTCTACCTCTGTATATGTCCCTGTCTCTATCTCTGTCTCTATCTATCTGACTACCTCTACCTCTACCTCTATCTCTATCCCTATCTCTAACTCTCTCTCTCTCTCTCTCTCTCTGTATTCTAGCTCACTCCATCTCTAAATCGATCTTGATATACTCTAACTTCTCCCTAGTGCCGATCTCAATATAACAGGATTAACATCTATTAAGCACCCATTGGCACTCTATATCTGGGAGATGTTTTCATTTTGAGATGTAACTCGTTCTTTTTCATGTTTACATGGACTCTGGGTTGTTTCTGGGGTTTATCTGGCAATGTTGTTATTCCCAATCAACTGCAGTGAACAGCTGGGTTCA